AAAACACCAAACAAATCTGCAGAGACCTATCAATTGTATGCATTTCACTGCTTTTAAAAGGAAGCTGTTTTGGCAACAAGAACTCAACTTTTTTACCTGAGTGTTTAAAGTAAAATAATTAAAGTGCAATTCCTTTTGAGCTCTTTTTCTACTCAGTTTAATAAATTACTGCTAGAGAATTTACTTACATCAACAAATATACCCTTTCTACTTGGTTTCATTCAGTAACATCTATAATCAACAATCAATATGCTACCATAGGGAATCAAGGAGGCTAAAGATGTAGAAAACTGATTATAATATCAATATAAACATGGAACAATGCCATGCCAATACACAGACATATTTTTTTCAATTTTCTAAATACAGTCCAAATAGTGCACTGGTGCCTTCCCCGTAATTAAAGATCAACCCTGCCATAAATATATCCACCTCAGGACACCCAATCTTCAAAGGCCTTAGAGAAAAAATAATGGGCAAACCTTGGCTCTGATTGAGTGGGAGAGTGTGGGAAGAGTGAAAGGTGAAGAATATGAAAACAAGAATCCCTCACACAGAGTCTCCTGTAGCCATTATAGGGATAGCTTTGATCTGAGTATTTCTGCAGCTCTCAGCTGCAGCAACATATGAAAACGTTTGCCTGCTGCATGGATTACTGCTTCATCCTGTTTGGCAGGTACTGAACAGGCAACATTGAGAACGCACCTCCAGTAAAGCGTTTGGAAAATGCTGTTATCTCCGAGCACTTAAGGAAAGTCAGTGTTCTGTAACGTGGGACAAGTGAGGGCCTTTCCTGGGTTATCCTTTTGCTCCTAAATTTTGCTGCCCCCCCATCATCATTGTTGACAATAAAACTGCAATATTACTAGGAGATCTTGTGTGCACACTGGGCATCTTTTTGTTCCCTGTCTAGTAAGTGTTGCTGCAGAGCAACTCTTAGAAGTGTCTCAGCAGAAAGCCAGCAGGGCTGTAACCCTGCTTAATGGGTCTGTAAGAAGGTTTTGGGCTAACATTTCTAAATAGTCCAATTCTGCTCCACTAAAATCTGTGGGAACTTCACCACTAACGTCAACAGATGCAGAAGCAGACCCATGGTAATAAGAAAGTACTTACAAATATTGTTGTTCCCATTTGTTAAATGAGGAGAGGCCAGGAAGGTACATGCCCTCCCAAAGAAACAAAGCAAATCAACAATAGATCGAAGATCAGAACTCACAGCTCTTGATCCATTAGTTCAAACAAATCAAACATGTTCCTACAACTGGCACTTCTTGAACGGAAGCCCCAATATTTTTACAATATTAACTTTCCATTCTTTCAGCAAAAAAACCCCAAACAACTTACATTTTTCAGACATTTTTTCCTCTTTTGTGAAGATATTATACTTAATAACTTTTCTTCCAGCCAATCAAAGTGCTGGGAAGTTGACCAATACATCCAAGAGCAACAAACATTAAAAGACAAAGGAAGACAGACAGAAAAGTGAAGATAAATTAATGAATAACACCTCAAATAAGTCACCATTCAAACAAACTTCCTTACCTCTTTTAAACTAAATACAGTACCTTACCAATTTAGATTGCTGAAAGAATCACCTGCTAAATCAACTATACCTCATTCATTATGCTTCAGTTTAAAATTTCGGGATGCTGCACTATTTAGGAGTCAAGCATCACAGAAGAATGAGTATTTAAAAGTTACCATGTCCACTGGATGCTATTAAAACCTATGGATACATTTCCACTGTCTTAAATAAGACTCTTCAGTTCTTTAAGGCAAGGGCCTTATGTTACTAATGGTCTGCAAAGTACCTTGCACTTTGGGACATACAAAAAAAAAATTAAAATAAAAAAAATAATAATTGGCCATGCAGCATAATAAACCAAGATTAAAATGAATAAAAATAACTGCCTCAGACTTGACCTGAGAATTTAAGTCTGTATGAATATATAAGCAAAACTTGTCAGAAACATTCTGCCACTGTTTAAGTAATAAATGAAAAAGAAAGACAAACCAAACTATATTTTAACTAAATTTCCCTGTAGCCAATTAGTTTTCTATTGGACCAGCATCAGCTGTACTGACAGCCTTGGAATCCCTTTGGAAGATGAAAGAATTCAGAAAAGAAGCATTTAGAATTTCTAAAAACTCTTCTACTCCTATCCCAACTAACCATATTCACTTGACTTGAAAATAAGCAAGAAAAACACACACATTTTGCTGACTAATAGTACACATCCACTTCAAAAATAAAATTGCAGCTTTAGAGAATTTTCCTATCAGAGGCCATAATTGCAGAAGAAACCTGTCTTCTACTCATGTTTTCATAATTTAACTGTAAGTTTTGCTAAGCAATTCTCCATTCTTAGGTCTCCAACTAGAACACCCAGAATACTGCCAAGTAATGTGGCTGTGATAATGCTTATGGATCTCTTCAAGCACCTGTGCCTTATTTCTTACTCATTTTACACTAGTGCTGTCAGCAACTGCCTTATTGGTGAGAAGAGTCAGATAAATCACAACAAACAGGTTTTGTAAGCAAAATGTTAGTTTATCTTTAGTCCGTAAAAAAACATTTCCAGAATGTTTAAACCTGTTACAGCTCTGAACACACTAAATAGGCTGCTTCTGTAGAGGCAGGTTAGGCTCCAGATAATCTAATTCCTCAGGTATTGTTTAAGAAGCCGAGTTGTGCGTAAATTCTGTCACTGTCATCTGTAAGTCTTTAAGCAAACAGGTTCATTATCAAAAGCATTACAGCTTTGTGCATTACAAACCCCTAGCATAAAAGAAACGATAAAACTAGCTGCTTTGTTCTCATTCTCACAAATGTGATTTTTGTTTTCTTCAGGATTTCTTGCTGATGTGTCACAGGATCTGGAGTCTAAAGTCTTTGTTAACAGTTCAGTGACATATACTTTTTCCTTAAATGGAAAAGTGCCTTCCTTCCCCGCTTCTTAACAGCCCTGTGTCATTCAGCCTCTCCTTGACATACTTCACTTAGCCTCTTATTAACTCTTCCTTCCCAAACTCCACCTGTTCACTACACCTTGAGCCCCAAAAACTTCTCCAGTGCCCCCTGCTCCCTATTTTGTCCCCAGTTCAAGCTGGCTATACACCCACAGCCTTCATTACACTTGGTGCTCCCTTGTCCACCTGGAATGAGCAGTCTCATGCCCTAGGGACTGGACCAGTACAGCTCTGGGAAAGCCTGGCTAGAATTCACCTCTCCAGGGGCCCAATGCAAGAGGCAATGAAACTAGCTGCTTTGTTCTCATGCTCAGATGGGATTGGGGGGGGGTCGTTTCCTTCAGGATTGCTCGTTTCTCTTGACGTATAAAGGTCCTTGGTAGCACTGTGAAGCACCACCCCAAAAAGAAGTTGCTTGGGTTTTGTGAGGCTCCCAATGAATTTAAAAGGGGGCACTGCCAGCCTCATAGTGTGACTGACACCCCAGGAAAGGCTCACCTCACCTCCTGTCATTTGGTCTCTCCTGGACACACTTTGCTTTGCCTCTTATTAACTCTTCATTCCCCAGCTCCACTTATTTCCACCACCTTGAGTTCCATCAACTCTTCCAACGCCACCTGCTCCCTATTTTGTCCCCAGTTCAAGCCGGCTATACACACACAGCCCTTCATGACACTCGGTGCTCCGTTCACCTGGGATGAGAAGCCTCACACCTCAGGGAGCTGGACCGCTGGAAAGCCTGGCACCTGGCATCTACACCAGCCCAACACCAGAGGCAATAAAACTAACTGTTTCGTTCTCATGCTCGCGGATAGGGTTTTTTCCCCCCAGCTTTTCTTGTTTCTCTTGATGTTTAAAGGTCTTTGTTGGCATTATGAAGCGCCAGTCCAAAGAGAAGCTGCTTGGGATTTGTGAGGCTCCAAGCTGAGTTAAAAGAGGGCACAGCCAGCCCCACCGGGGACAGAGATGCTATGAAAGCTTCCCCCCTCAGCAAAGAAAGGCAACCCCTCCACCCCCCAGTAGTGTTGCCAACTGTTTAAGTCTATTCTGGGAGGTTTCCGGGACGCCAACGTGCCTGCCACAGTGCGAGCATGCCCGCACGTTTGTGTACATCAGTGAGGGGTGATGGTGCGCAGACTTCACATCAGGAAGGCAAACGCACGTTACTATCACATTTCAAAAAATTCACCGGACTACTGTAGAAAACAAGTCAGATTCAACGTTTAACGCGCATTTTAACGCGTGCGCTCACATTGGACTCTCAGCAGTCAAATCCCAGAGATTTACATCCAATACCTTGGGATCCCCGGGGCAATCCTGGAGACTTGGGACCCTCACCCCCAGCGAGGAAACTAGCTACGGACTTTTTCAGGTTCCCCTAATCCAGGGGCTGGAGCTGAAGCCTGAGCTCCTGCTCGCCTCCTTTCCTTGTGCAGGAGGAGCGGGAAGGCAGGTCCCTGTCCTCCCTGGCGCCCCAGAAAGCCGGTCCCTGCCCCAGGGTCCGCGTGAGGGGATGTCTCGGTCCCGGGGCCGGGCGCTGCCGCCGGCGGGGAAGCGAAGCGAAGCGAAGGGGACCCCTCGGGCGCCTCTCACCTTGGGGTTGGCGAGCAGCTGGTGCTCGTCGTGGTGCAGCAGGGCGCGGGCGGCCGAGGCGGAGTGGCTGACATAGACCTGGAGACAGGGGTAGAGCGCGGTGCCGCGGCAGGCGGCGCCGCACGAGAAGGTGCACTCGAAGAGCTCGCCGGGCTGCTGCACCGACAGCACCGTGCAGCGCGCCGCCTGCCCCTGCAGCTCGCGCAGCGCCGGGCTCAGCCAGCAGAAGCCCAGCACGAACAGCGCCACGACGCCCGACACGATGAGGAACAAGCCGAGCCGGATGCTCTTGTCCTCCGCCTCCGTGTACTCGTACGGCGCCCCGCGCGGCTTGGCCATGCCGCCCGCCAGGTAAGCGGCGGCGGCGGCGCCCGGCCCGGGGGCTCCGAGCAGGCGCGGGACCGGCCGCTGCGGGGAGGGCGGGACGATCTGGATCCCTGCTGGGAAGGGCTCGCTGGCCACTCCGGATTAGCGCCGCGCGGGGGAGCACGTGTCTCTCACTGGCGGGGCTTGGGGGGGGCAGGGCCCCTCCTCTCCTGTCTTCTCGTCTCTGTCCTTGCTGATCCTTGCCTGGGACCTGGGGAGGGAGCAAACATCTGCCTCCCCCCCTCCATGTCAAAGCACCAAGCCTAGCCCCGGCAGCTGCCAGCTCTAATCCTTCCTCCCGAACCGCTTAATGCTCTGCCTCCCCTCCCCCAGTTGCACATCTGCTGGGGCCCAGCTTGGTGCTCAGCCCGGGCCCGAGAACAGCCGGGGGGGGGGGGGGGCTTAAAAAAGGGGAATTTTGGGGAAAAAAAGGGGGGGGGGGGGGGCTTAAAAAAGGGGAATTTTGGGGAAAAAAAGGGGGGGGGGGGGGGCTTAAAAAAGGGGAATTTTGGGGAAAAAAAGGGGGGGGGGGGGGGCTTAAAAAAGGGGAATTTTGGGGAAAAAAAGGGGGGGGGGGGGGGATTTAAGAAAGGGGAAGTTTGGGCAAGAAAAGGGCAGGAGAGTGGGACTGAGCAGCAAAAGGAAGCCAAGGTTTAATGACACGCTTTCTGCCTGTGGGGCTACAGTACCCCAGCAGGGCTGGATCACCCCTTTTGTGAGTCCTAGGCAAACAAACCCACTGCAGAGTGTATATTTCTAGTACTCGTTTTTCACTCAATAATTAGCATTATGTAAAATAAGAACAACTTGGCCCTTTCTTCACTTAGGGCCCTGGGCATGGGCCTAGCTAGCGCGTGCACTAAATCAGGCCCTGCACACCAGAGCAATGGTTTTGAGCCTATGGTCCTCAGACCCCCCCTGCCCAGGGGTTTGTGAATGATGTCTATGATCGATCAAAAGTAAGTGAGCACCCAAGTTACACTTCCAAGGGGTCTGCACCTCCATTCCCAGTTTCCAAAGGGGTCTGCTGATAAAATAACGGTTAAAAACCACTGCCAGGGCAAGATAGTGGCTGGAGGTGCTACACTAGGAAAAGCTAGAGCAACTGTGTCTGCTTACCGACAAAGGATCATGTGTGGCTGTATACATGTGGGCTTGGCTACCCCAGCCTGTCCAGCACTCCTGTCTTTACAGCGCTGAGTAGGGCTGTAAAAGGGAAAGCCATGGCCAGGCAGCAGAGGCAGAACAAATCTCAACATTTGCACATAAGACTCCCTGTGGTCAACTTTAGCAGTTCAGATAAATAAAGCAGGCAGGGGGAAAGGCTGATTAGAATTTTTTCTTTTAAAAGAAATGTGGTTACATAGAGGCAGTAATGTAAAGTAATGTAAAGGGCACCAATTTGCTCTCTACTCCTTATCCAGCACAATTGAGCATGCTTGTTGCTCTCCTTGAAAAACTTCACGAGAGTTACTTTTCATCCCACATGAAGTTTTAGATGCAAGAGATGATGGGTACAGTGTTGTGTGTACAGGAAAACGAGGGTAGATGTAGAAAGCTACAGGTAACAAAAAGGAACTTGAATTGAGCAGAAACCAGCAAAGAGGACAGTTACAGTTAGCTGCTGGAAACAGCTCCTTCCCCTTATTACTACCTCTACTGTACCTGGATTTAATTATTCTTGTTGTTACTCTTACTTAAGCTCCAGAAAAGGCCAGCTGCTGTGAAACTACGTAGTATCACTGTATATGCAGAAGTGCATGCCATTTTCTCAGGGATGCAACAGGATGTTGGGGATTGTTGAACAGGATAAAGAATAAGGCCAATTATTGCAGCAGGTTGGAGGTGAGTTGAAAGAAGTTGCCTTTCCACCCCAAAGGAAAACATCTCCTAGTTGTGAGGGAAGTTCAGTTAGCATGATACTATTTTCTTGCCTAATACATTTTCTTGGTGACTTGGACTAGGAGGAGACTTAGTGTAGTTACTGTAATATCCACCTATAAAACTGAATTCTGGGGTATGGGTTTTTGACCAATCTAGCCTTTCAAGTCTTCACTACCAACTCATTGAGAATGGCAGAGCAAAG